TTTTGCAGCCCACAGCCTTATTGTTTTGATTTGGTTTACTCTTACTGTTCTTGCATTGTTGTTTGCAACCACTAACAGTTTTCAGCTAGCTCAAGAACACAACGGACAGTTTGGTGGCATTAAAACCAGATACTTTTACTCAACAGTTGATTTAGAACAGCGAAAATGTGACCTGTTTTTGGGTTTAAAAAATAAATTATTGCAAAACTTTTTTCTTTTGAATGAAACTCTAAGAGCACATGCTAGTCGTGGTTTAATTGGACCTTTTCAAGTGTAATTTATATGACCAGGATCAAGCTCTTATATTTTTGATATGTAATATACGTTTGTAGTTCAAGCACCTATCAGCCCCATTCCCTTAGTTTGCATTTGAGATGCTTGGCATCACTACTCGCCTCTCACGGTCTGTGGTCTCTCTTCTCTGTTCTCAGCGACTTTGATTCTCTGGATGAACGAGACCAGGAGAAGAACAACCAGTTAGCTTTCGACGTGGCAGAGAGGGAATTTGGCATCTCACCATGCATGACGGGCAAGGAGATGTCCTCTGTGGTGGAGCCAGACAAACTCTCTATGGTCATGTACCTCAGTCAGTTCTATGAGATGTTTAAGGACACAGTGCCACCTGGAGGTGAGAGACGGTGCTACAGTGGGAGTTTTTATTCTGTAATTTTCTTTTGGGAGACATCGTGACGATCTCTGATCAGAAGGGTCATTTACTCAAAAAAAAGTATAATCTTGAAAGAACTTTAAATGGCTATTTTCTGTTAATGTTGTTCTTATTTTACGGATATCTGTTCAGATAACCAAAATCTGAGTCCAGAAGAGAAGGCTGCGTTGATATCGAGCACAAAGTCTCCCATATCTTTCCTCAGCAAGCTGGGTCAGAGCATAGCAATCTCCAGAAAACGAAACCCCAAGGTCAGTGTCTGAAACATGCCAGTATATCTTACTTCTTCCTAAAGCAACAAAATCAGCATTTCATCATTTACTTATTTAACTTTTTTTTGCTGAGGGGGAAAATAGCACATGACTTTTCTTCAACAGGACAAAAAAGAGAAGGATTTAGACGGGAAGAGAAGGAAAACCAGCCAGTCTGAAGATGTGAGTATTCCTGACAGCAGAGCGTCTCAGATGTTGATCTTGTGATTAGTGCTTGAGCAGTCTAGCCAACCAGAACCAACTAATTAATCCCACTAGACTCGCAGTGATTGCCAAAAAAGTTTAGGTGTTTTGTTGTGTTTTTTCCCCCCCGACTACTTTCTCACAGGACGAGGTATCGAGGACCAATCGTGACGACAGGCCATCTGTTCCTGCGATCCTGTCGGAGAGAAAAACGGACTCTGCTGCTGTGGGGAACAACAACAAAGTGAAGGTCATGGCCACCCAGCTGCTTGCTAAGTTTGAGGAGAACGCTCCCACTCAGCCTACAGGACTCAAACGACAGGTATGGAAGAAACTGGTCGTCTCATTTTGTGGTTTTACAGCTGGCGGAAATCAGGATTAAGCCACAGGGAAAAGATGCAGAGGCCTACTGGATGTTCTAGGAGCTGCGGTTATATTTGCACACTGACTGCGTTTGTTTTCTTAAATCAGCATTGTGATGAACGTGAATATCATGCTTCATGTCGTGACCTGTAGGTCGCTGTTTTAATGAGCTGAGGTCCCGCATGCTTATGTTGGTCAGGCTCTGTATTGTTCCTGGGACATGTGGGCGGACTCACAGTGCTGACTGGGCTCGGAGGGCTCGGGTGAACTGGTTCGCAGTGGTCTGGATTTCTTGCCACTGATGACCAACAGAGCAGTGGGAGGGAGAAGTGAGCTTTTGAAACAGTAGACAATAGTGCTGGCGGAGAGAAGGGAGAAGTTTTGTAATTGTTTTGGGAAAATTTCTGGTTTGTGCTGCTGAAATCTATGAAGATTGCAGATAAGGTCCTAAAAGTCTTATAAGAGTAATGTTTGTTTTTTTTAGGTAAAAACATTCTTTTATTTACATTCTGCATGACATTTACTGTGCATTGTCTCTATAAATACAGAGTTCACCCCACATGATGCACTTATGCTGTCTGTCATTTCCTTATCTTTTCTGAAGACATATTTTCCTACTGCTGCGTCTCCACTCATCCATGATTCACTTCCTTCTTTCTGTTGCTCTCTCCTTGGTTTCCACCCTCATTATGGACCATTTCACGATGCCTCGCATGGTTATTCTGGCCCTTTAATTGGCCGCGCTCGCTGTCACTCATCTTTAACTGACTACAAAGGGGGACTCGCTGCCCAATCTGGACCGTCTTTTGCCCCCTTCCCCACCCCCTGTGAAAGAGCCAGTGCGTCTGGCACCTGTCCCAGCATGGAGAAAGGTAAACGTTAGCCCTGTAGAGACTAACGGCTAGACTAACCATATATCCCCGTGGTGTTTCATAGTGGGGAAAGCACTTTGTGTTGAGCTGTCGGACCTTGAGGCCACTTTGTAGTGGGCAGACTTGAGAGAAACTAACACAGTAGCTTGTGTGCAAAACTGCGTGACTGTTTAACTTTCCAGTCGGATAGCTGCACAGTTTCGTGTGCGTGCGTGTTTGTTTGTGTCCAAGAGATGGAATTAGAAGTAGAAGTAGAGTCACAGTCATCTTTGCTTCTCCTGTCTTGGTTCAGAGACGCACACAGCAGCAGGAGAAGCTGAGCATTCGGTACAAAGAGATGATCAAGTGTCAGACGTTGCCCAGCAGAGGGGAACAGGTATGGTTAGCTAGCTAGCTATGGTTAGTTATTTAGTTATGTAGCCTCTCCTTCTTAAATACATTGGTGTTTTGGTCTAGAAGCAAGTGGAAGAGAATGTAGCCTCACCAAGCATCACATGACTGTTTTACGATAAAATTGTTTTCGTTTCTAAAAAAGTTTTTGTTTAATCACAACAAACCTTCCCAGTTATGTCATGTTCTTAAAAAACATCTATATTTATATTTGTGTTTTGTTTGGTAGTTTATTTCTGCACAACTGCATACAAAGGCCAAAATGTTGATCCTGTTCATCTGGACATCCAGATAAACAGGATCAACCTTTTGGGATTTACTTACCTGGATGATTGAGCATGCATCGAGACAACTGCAGGCCACAGAAACACGGTCGTCCTATGTGACTAAGTAAGACTTTAACCTGCGCAAGGTTGCAAAAAAGAAAAGGAGTGAATGACTTTTGTTATAAAAAGCAAATTATTTGTAAAGAAAAAATATTTTACAGACACGTTTTTAGTATTCGTGGTGTCACAGATGGAGAAATGCAACTGGATATGGAGGCAGCTCTGCACTCTAACTATGAATAAAGAGGACAGTTTATGTACTTTAAACTTACTTTCAATTTAAAAAAAAAGTGCTTCAAAAATATAACGTGTCTCTATAAATACGCAAGTTAACATTAATGAAAACCAATGTTTATAAATAATAGCATATAAAATATAACCGTTAAAAACACCCATGACGTCAGTCTTTCCGCTTGTTTCTTTTTAGTACTGTTCTTCTCTTTAAACCTCGTCAGTGATTGGCTGGACTCTCTTTAGCCTTCATTCTTCATGGCAGATTCAACACAGTGCTGGAACATTCCTTAGAGATTTTGATCAATATTGATACGATAGCGTCACACAGTTGCTGCAGATTTTGCACCTATGATGTGACACACCCGTCCCACCACATCCCGATGGTGCCCATCTATTGAGATGTGGTGACTGGAGGCCATGCAAGGACTATGAACTCATTGTCATATCCAAGAAACCAGTTTGAGATCTCCGTTCATGCTGGAAGGAGCCAGCATGATAATATGGGGCGCTGTGGGCATAAAGGGTGTCCGTGGTCAGCAACCATACTCGGGTAGATTTTTAAACAATGTTCAGTCGGTACTAAAGGACCCAAAAATATCCCCCATGTCTATATACCATCACCAGCCTGCACCGTTAATACAAGGCTGTACCTTCATTGTGTT